CTTCCACCCACCGGAGCTGCGCTGATCTGAAGCCAGGAGCCTCCTCCGGGTCTCCCACACGGGTGCAGGGGCCCAAGGACTTGGGCCATCTTCTACTGCTATCCCAGGCCACAGCAGAGAGCTGGATCGGAAGAGGAGCAGCCGGGACTAGAACCGGCGTCCATATGGGATGCCGGCGCTGCAGGCCAGGGCTTTAACCCGCTGCATCACAGCGCAGGCCCCAAATAAATAAATCTTAAAAAAAAAATTACACATTGCTTATTCCTGGAATTTTCCAGTTAATATGTTTGGATCAGAGTTGCCCTTGGGTGACTGAAGCCACAGAAAGAAAGAGAGGCTGTGGGTAAGGGAGGACGACCGTGCGGACCCCAGAGGTAAGAGAACAGGCTTGGGAGAGGCGACGTGGCCTGCCTGAGCTCCCTCCACGCACAAGGGCAGAGCTGGTCCCCACGCCTGGCCTGCTGACTCCAACTCAGGCGTTCCAGCTCTTCTGTCTCCTTACAAAACGCACCTCGTGACGTTGCCACACTCTGCAACGGGAGCATGGGAGCTGGCCAAGGAGGTCGGGGTGATCACCACGGCTGTGCAGGCCCCAGGCAGGGTCGGGCTGCAAGTGAAACCGCTAGGGCTCAGGCCGGGTCTGCCATCCCACCTCAATCGCCACCCGGCCCCCAGCACGCTAGGCAGCACTGCAGAAGATCACATCTGGGGCTGGCGTTGTGCAGCAGGCCAAGCAATGCCACCTGAGCACAGGGTCAAGTCCTGGCTGCTCTACTTCCAATCCTGCTCTTTGCTAATGAGCCTGGAAGGCAGCGGAAGCCCTAGCACTTGGGCCCCTGCCACCCACATGGGAGAACAGGGCCCAGCCCTGGCCACTGTGGCCATTTAGGGGTGCGAGCCAGCGGATGGAAGCTCCCCCCACCTTTCCTTCTCTCTCCGTGACTCTGCCTTTCAAATAAATAAATCTTAAAAAAGACACAAAAAAGTCCAAGGTTCTCGCTGGTCAGGTCCTCCCAGGAGTGTGGGGTTGTCCACACCCCACACCAGACTTCCTTAGGCTGTGGGGAGCTCTCGGGGTATGTAGCAGGGTCAGCCCCTGCCTCTCACGCCTCCACCCACGTGGAGGTTTGGGGTGGATGGAGGTCACAGAACCCAAGACAAGAGCAGGGACCCTTCTCCAGCCTGTGGCTCCGGGAGGACACCCGAGGACTCCTCCAGCTGCATTCACGCGCTGCCCTTCCGGCCTTCCTCCACCGCTCCCCTCCACATTCAGCCTGCTGGAGAGCCCAGCCCCCTCCCAGGCCCCCTGGACACAGGTCAGTCCCACCCCAGCTCCACCCAGGTCCTCCCCCCTGCAGCCTCCTCCCCCGCTCTCCGCCCTCTTAAGGCAGTGGCCTCCGTCTACCCAGTGGCCCGGCACCTAACGGCTGCCTCCTGACATCTCTGGTTGGCAAATTGATTTTTTATGTTAAAAGGGTGCAATAGCGGGCGTGAGCTATTTTTGTCCCTTCAGTGAGTATCCCGGGCTCCTGCATCTTTGGAAGTGCAGTTCCCTCCGAGTGACCTCAAAACTGTACTCCAAGGTGTCCTCTCACTCAAGGAGGGGGCCCGGCTCCTGCCCTGGGATTCGGTTGCCTTCTGTGGTCTCTCAAGCCCCTGGACTGGGGTACAAGAGGCCGCCCCCCCTCACAGGGGAAGGAAAGTTGTCTCCTGGAAGAAGCCACAGACAGAACTCACGCCCACTGCATGCACGAAGCAGCAGGAATCTGGACAGCACCCAGGAATGATCAGGGTTTCGTTGTGATATATACACCCCTTCCCACAGAACCCCAGCTCCTGCCTGGGTCTCTGCATGTGCCCTGGGCATGAGAAACTTAGCAGCACACACCAAAAGGTGCCGGGGCTGAGTGGAGCCAGAGGGTGGGCTCTGCCCAAGCGGACCACAGCCTGGGCTGGAGCCACGCCCTTCCGCCCCCACCTGGCTGGCCGGCCGGCTCCGGTGAGTTATCAGGGACTCATGACTGGAGCACGGCGCACCTCTTCAGCGGGCTCTGAGCCTGGGCCAGGAAGCTATGGGCGTCACAGGTGCTGGGCTGCCCTCCCCCTGCTCTCCCTCACCGCCTGAAAGTGAAAGGCTGGTTAGAGCTCCGAGCTTCCCCAGCGCCACCCTGGCCCTACACAGCCACCCCCCCCCCCAACTGCTTCCAACAGCAGTGCCCGTCACTTCCTCTCTCGCAGAAAGCCCTGTCTGGTGGCCTCCCTCCACCTCCGACGTGTGCGTGCTGAATGTCACTGTGTCCTCTGGGTGGCCCGCATGCACAGGTCTCGCCTGTCCAGCCACACAGGAATGGCCTCCTGGGCGTGGGGCTCTCCCCGCAGCCCCTGCCCACACAGGGACAGGCAGAGTTCAGCCCTGTCATCCCTCAAACAGCTAACACGTCGCAGGCACGTGCAGGCCTCTGGCACTGGGCACTGCCGGGCTGCACACACACAGGACGTCCTGCCTGGGGCTCTCTCTCCTGGTCAGATCAGCTCTCTGGGGACTTCCATGTCACAGCGTCCCCGTGGGATCCCATGCCTCTCTTCCTTTTACTTCAGCCACCACTGTTGAGGGCTATGAGCACGTGGCCTCAGAGGCCTTGAACCTTCTGGCTTCCTCATGGCCTGGCCACAACAGCTTTACTGAACCACTGCACCCATGGGCTGGGTTGCAGGCCAGTCACCCAATAGCTGTTTAACACCTACCACGTGTGCCAGACGCCACACCAAGGCCCTCACCACTCCCCAAGAAGCAGGTGGTCCCAGAGCTGCTTCAGGGGAGGGACACTGGATGCAGGGTGTCCGTGGCACACCCCAGAGGACCCCTGGTACAGAGTAGCTGGAGGAGGCTGGGGCCGGGCAGGCACTGTGGCGCTGTTGTTTAAGTTGTATCCCATTCCCGAGTGCCTGGTTTCAGTCCTGGCCACTCCCCCTCCAATCTGGCTTCCTGCTAACGGACCTGGGAAGCATGGAGGTACTTGGGATCCTGCCATCCATCCACGTGGGAGGTCTAGATGGAGTTCCTCGCTCCTGGCTTCAGGCCGGCCTAACCCTGGCTACCGCAGGCATTTGGAGAGTAAAACCAGCAGGTGGAAGATCCCTGTCTTTTCTTAGAAAGAAAAGAACATTGCATTTTCCCAGGAGGCCAGGCAGTCAGGAGCGGCGGCAGGGCGTGGGGGAGGGGCTGGAAGTGCACTGGAGAGGCAACAGAGCGCTTCACTCGCCAGAGCTGGTCCCGAGGGATGCCCACTGGGCAAGGGTTTGGCTCTTTTCCAGCCCCAGTGGGAACCAGGCTTCCGCCGGTGGCCAGTGGTCCCAGGCGTGGCTGGAGGGACGCCCACGGCAGTGGCTGGCCTGAGGTCCTGGGCCACAGTGGTCGTTCTTGCCCGTGCCTGCACGTAAGTCGCTGAGAACACCAAGCTCAGGCTGCACTCCAGGCCCATCCGTCAGAAGGGGTCAGGATGAGAGGACACAGGGCCATGGGGAGGGACTGCCAGGAAGCTCTACGGTGGGGAATGCAACTGCACCTGAGGGGCCAAGAGCCTGCAAGTCCCCCCCGCCCCCGCCCGCTCTCTCATGGGCCCTGTGCAGTGACGCAAAAAGGGAAGGAACAACTTCGTTTTGATTTTTTTCTGAGAGGCAGAGGCAGACTGAGCGCTCCTATCCATCGGTTCACTCCCCAAATGCCCACAGGGCCACGGCTGGGTCAGGCTGAACCAAGAAATACGACACAGGTCTCCCGTGTAGGTGGCAGGGTCCCAAGTACTTGAGCCTGGAATCGGGAGAGGAGCTGGGACTCGAACCCAGGCATGCCAGTATAGGATACGAGTTTAATGGCTGCACCGACACCTGTCCTGCCCACCACACCTGGAGGAAGGTTTCCCAGGCTGGGGTCTGGGAGGTCACTCTCCGCCAGACTCTGAAGGATGGAAGAATGGCCGTGTGCCTGGCAGGCCAGTCACACATGGGGTTGTGTCGCCCCCTAGTGGCAAGGTCTGAGTGTGGTGCCCACGCTCCACTGCCAGAAGCGCCCTGCAAATCCTCTCCCTTCTTACCCTCTGATCGGGAAAGATTTTAGAAGAGGACTGGCCACGTGAGGCACAGATGTTCTGCGAGAACTGCCCGACAACTCCACACCCAGTGTCTGCAGGCTGCTGCCTTGGTCCCCAAACACCTGAAGATCCCCCACACCCTACGGAGCACCCTGGGGAGCACAGGAGGCAGGCGAGCCAGCGCAGGGGTTGAGCGCCCGCGGCCTCTGAAAAGCCACTGAAACACAGCCCCTGTCTACATGATGCGGGTAACACGGGGCCCAGCTCAGAGGCTCTGTGAGGATCAGCAGGGACACAGGACAATGACCTTGCCTGACGTCCAGCAAGGGCTGCAGGTCCGACTGTCTCTGAGCACACGAGCCGCCCCCCACTCACTCCGCTCTGGTGGCTGGGGCTGCTCAGGGACCCCCAGGGCACTTCCGGGAAGCTTCTGACCGACACTGGAGTTCCTGTCCCCTGGACTGACACCCTGCCCTGATCTGACTGGTCCCTGTTCTCGCTTGTTTGTGCTTTACTTAGTTATTTCCAATAAAGCTCTCAGCTCTTCTGCTCTGGAATGAGGTCGAATAGAAACCAACACGACTCTGTTTAGGACCTGGCAAGCCCTGCTCTTCACACGCGAGTCAGCACGCACCCTCACACGATATCCTCTTCCATGAAGACAAAAGCCTCCCGGCTGCGCTCAGAAACACACCCACCAGCACTGCCCGAGAGACTCGGAAATATGCGTTAATCTAGGCTTGGGGCGGGCCCCAGGAACATTAACTTTAGAAGTTTCCCAGCTGCTTCTGAGGTGGCCAGCCCTGACCACAGAACAGCGTTTGAGAATCTCAGGCCTGGAAACGTACAAACGGGGGTCATTAATTCTTAGAGTGATCGTAAATTCCTTTACAAAATTAACTTTCCAAATAAAATAAATCTCAGCTTTATTTGACTAATGTGCTTCAAAAACAATGAGTGTAAATCCAGATTTGCAAATCAAACCCACTGAAATTCAACAGGGTAAAAGACGTTAGGATAGACGCCAGAAGTGAAGCCGGCTGGAGAACCAGGGCGCGCCCACTGGGCTGCTCCGAGTCTGGCTTAAGGTCCCACACCTGGAGTGCTGGTCCACGTTTTCTCGTACCAGCTCCACGGGGCGCTCACTAGAGGGCGCTCCTTCCCCGGCCTAGGCTCCTCCCTGGCGCGGGAGCTGTGGACCAGCTGCACCCACTAGACCAAGGTGTGATTCGCACAGGGCAGGGAAGGCAGTCACGTGATGGATCGGTCTGAGCCCTGGGGCTCCAGACACTCTGGCGGCTGCTCCCTAGCCAGGCAGCAAAGACCCACAGACCACCTCCACGATCTTGACTCCACAGCTGGGAGGAGGAGCCCCAGCGGTGTGGAGACGCTGGCACATGCCCCCACAGATGTCACGGCAGCTGGGGGGGTGGGGCTTCTGCCCCCCAGAGCTCAAGTCCAAATGGCTCAGGTGCCCCTTTCCACCGTTTGATGGAATCTTCAGGCACCAAGGGATGACAACGTCCAACTGTGCCTCCTCGAAGTCAGACGCAGGCTTGAAGCCGCTGCACCCCTGCCCCGCTCCGCCTACCGTCTTCCCCCCGCAGGGTCCCCGTGCCTTTTCAGAAGGGGTCAGAGTCCTTCCTTAGAAATCCTGCTTCGGCCCCAGAGGGTAGGAGGAATGGAGAGCCCAACTGACGGAAAGTGTGAGACTAGTACCTAGGAAACCCTTCTTACAAGCCTGGGACAATTCAGAGAATTCACTGAAAGGGGAGCGGTGCACCCCATGTGCCTGAAGAGCCCACCACGCTCCAGAAACTGCAGGCGGCCAGGGAGATGGGCAGCACACACAGCCCAGGGCACAAGTAGCCAGGGAGGAGAGCACACAGCGGGGCAAGACAACGCGACATGGCGCTAATACTGACCAGGTTTCCAGTTCTCCGGGGGCATTCTGAGTGTCCCGGGCCTAGGCTGGTGGGGCTGGCATGGCCTGTGACAGAGGAACACGCATGCTAACCAGGTCTTGCTGGCACTTTTAGTGATCGATCACAGTGGAAGGACTTCCAGACAGACTGACACAACTGGGTACTGGCAGAGCCTTAATCCAGGGCTGCTCTGAGGAGGCCCAGGTCCCTGAAGTCTGTCTGTAAGTCCACAGAGGGATGTGACGGTGACGTCTGCCCAGACTGTGGGCAGAACGGGGGCACGGCTGGCAGTTTCAAGGGAACAGAGCCAGAGACTCAGACACAGTAAAACCAGGTGAGGCTGTAACCGACAACTCACTAACCTTTGCTCACGGCTACTTTTGAGGGCACAAAAGCCACCAAGGCCGAGGCACAGGTGCTAAGCTGCTATCTCTGAACCTCAAGGGCTGACCATTCTACAAGGGACTGGAAAGATCAGGAACTGGGTCTTCCCTCTCAGCCTCACCTGAGAGAGGACACGCACCCAGCACTGCCCTGTGGGTGCTTCCCTTAGGCAGCCGCCTCATGGAGGAACGGCGAGCGCTAGCCGTCAGTCTCTGTGCTGCTGAGGGCGGGGGAGGCCACGAGCTAGGGTGGGTGAGGAGAAAGCGGCCTCTCTTCCCTCCTCCTCGCTTTTGTTCCAGCCTATGCAGCAGCAGCCAGGAAGGTTGGAGGATGACAAGGTGTGGAGGGTGTGGACAGGCCCACCTGCAAGGCCCGCTGCAGAAGCCTTGCCAGGGCGCACATCAGCTGTGTGGCCAAAGCCACCAGAGCCACTCTTTCATCCCCCAGTGACAGCGACAGAGACAGCGACGGCGAGAGCAGGGACTTCTTTCATTCCCACAGCACTGAGCATCTTGGCAGCACTGGTTCCCCTCCAAAGCGTCACAGAACACAGCGCGGGTTGGAACTGGAGCAGAATCACTCCCGAGTGGTCTTCACAGTTAAGTGGGCATACAGCTCGACAGGCGGCGCTGGGCCTCCCCCTCTCTCACTCACACACTCACTCACTCTCACGCAGTGGGAACACTGCTGTCACTGGGCCTGGCCGGCTCACGTCAGGTACTGCACCACGAGGAACATGACCACACAGGTGAGCAGCATCCCGCCGATCATGAAGTACTTGTCCTGGAACGCCCGCTTCTCAATGAGCCGCATCACCGTGTTGGACAAGCCCAGCATGTTGGCGATGTCGAGGATCTTCTTCTGCGTGCCCTGGGGCGGACAAGAAGACAGAGAGGAAGATCAGCTCGTTTTGCCCAGATGGGCGAACGTCTTCATGGATGAGGCCGTACCCGCACGCTCCTGGTCAGGCCTGGAACACGTGAAAAGCAGCAGCAGCCAGGAGAAACAGGTTCCCTCCCACCGGTCAACTGACTCTGGACACGGTACCGGGGCAAAGCAAGGGAGAAGGGAGTCTTCCCCACAGACGGCGCCAGGGCCGGGGCCACACAACAAAATACTGCACACACAGATCACCCTGGGACATCCCTAGGCATCTCCTACATACATGTGTTTGTAAAAAACGACCCTTGATTCTTATTATATATATATGAAAATAATTTTAGATCATAAGCATAGAAGCTAAAACCATAATAAAGCATCTAGAAAAAGTAAGATAATAATGTCTAAAAACTGGAAAACAGCCTGGGTATTCACCAACCAGGGCATGGCTAAACCAACTGCAGCTCACTAACATGTGGAGCTGATCGGCCACATGTCACCGAACAGGTGACACACACAGCAGTCTAAGCGCACCCACAGGCAACACTAACTTAGGTGACACGAGTTGGAACAGTGGCCACTTGGGGGCGGGGGAGTGGGGAAGAGGTCCTCCAGGACGATGAAAATGTCTCCATCTCAATGGGCATACAAATTATAAAGTGCGATACATTTGGCAAAATCCAATGACTTGTACAAATAAATATCTGTACATAAATTACACCTCAACAAAACAATTGTAAATTGGCATATTTTAAAGTAAAAAAAGAAAAGGCAACATCAAGAAAACCTTTTCTGGGTCTAACACCAATAATTCTTGATGTCAATCTGTTCACTTTGTACAGCAGAACTGCTGGGGACTCTACTGAGTGTAATGCATGGGTCAAAATCCTATTTATGAGTCTGAAGTGGGAAATGATGGCAAGACAGAAACGGGACAGACAGACATCAACATGAAGACGAAAGTCCCTTCTAGAAATGTCACCCTCTACCACCAAAACCAAAGGGTACTTCATCCCTGAACCAACAGCCCAAACCATCCGCACTGCTTTCTAATTTCCTTAAGCACACTGATTTCTCACCAAGTGAGACAATGAAGCAATGAATGTTGGGCAGAGCCGAGCTGCCTGTCCACGGTGCATGGACGGCAGCCACGCTGATGCCCACCCCTGCCTCCTCAGGTGAGCACAGGTGACCGAGCACGAGAAGCAGCAGTGTGGGGCGCCGTGCACAGGCATTCAAACCACACCGAGAGGCCTCAGCAGGACACCCCAGGCCAGACTTCACTGCTGTCAGAGACCACCGCTCTGTCACGACAGCGACAGTGAAAACTGGACTTCTGGTACAGGCCCTGCTTGGCTCACAGAGCACTTCAGCACCGCGTGAGGTTCGAAGGCCAAGGCTGTAAAACCACCCCAGAGTTGTTTCAAAAAATCAGGAAAGCAAAAATCGGCCTGAACCAGGTGCTTCGGCCCAGCTCCTTCCCGTTGTCTCCACTGTTTCTCTCCCTCGTTTCATGCGGGAGATTCCCCAAACTGGGGGTGGGGGCGCGGGGCAGTGTTGATCCAGAGACCAGACAGGCATCTGAGTGCTGTGTGTGCAGGACCCTCAGGCATCAGCCCCAGCCACCCGACAGGCTGCCCAGGGCTTCACCTCCGCCAACAGCGCAGGGGGCAGGGGCTGCGGGCGCCTCAGTGACACCGGGCTTTAGCAGGAAGCCAACCTCTGCTTTAACAACAAGCTCTACCGCCACCGGCTCTCCACCCCTGCGACCCGGAGCCCTGCCCTGGAGGGCCCGGTTTTTCTGAGGGAAAGGAGACCAGCAGCTTTCTGAAGAAAGGGCAGACTCATCTACAGGCGTCAGCACGGATGGCTGCAGGTGGCCGCTCTGGGGGGGGAGCTGTCGCGGCCACTGCCACTGTCTGCAGGCGGCTGGCCCGACCCGCTCCCTGGCAGGGACGGCAGGCGCTGTTCAGATATGCACTGGAATCCCCTGGAGCTGTCAGGCTCAACCCGGTCCAAGAAAAACTGAGATAAAGCTCACACTTCCGAGTGACTGTTTCTCACAGCTCAGTGGCTGGGAGCGCTTCGCTCACAGGGGACCACACCCTGATAACGGCAGAGCCCACACCCCGTTATCCACCAGGGTTGATACAGGAAAAGGGCTGACGCTGAAACATGGGAGCTGACATCAGAGCCTGTGCAGTGTTTCTGTAAACCACTCCCTGGGGGTTCAGTCTCAGCAGTGCCAATGGGGCGGGGCATCTGGGAATACCTGCGGGGCCCCAGGGGAAAACCACCCTGGAGTGAGGTGTCGGGCAGAGCGCGGCCGCGCCTCCATTCTTCCAAGAGTAGACCCTAGCACAGGCCTTCTCAGCCCACTACCGGATCCCTCACGGGGGCAGCCACTTTCCTAAGGTCAGTCAGTGGGAAAAGACCTAGATCCCAAGAAGTCACCTCACAGCTCACTTCAAACACTGGGTGCTTTTGGGCTCGACTCCAACAGGAAGGATCTCAAACTCAGGGACTCTGATTCACCCTCACAACACCACAATCAAGGACACACAACCCAAACGAAAACGCAAGTGCCACACTTGGATGAGGCCAAAAGAAGAAGCCTTCTCCCTGTCTCCCAGCGGGACCCCACCTTCAAGGTCAGCCTCTGGGCCCTCAGTCCCTCCAGAATACTGTGCCCGCCTCCAATGAGGTCATCCATGCCGTGGTGAATTTTCTGGAGGGAGGAGTTAAACTGCAGTGATTCATCCATGGGTATGGTGGTGTCAGAGTCCTGTGAAAGAAAGGCAGGCACTGTTAACTCCGCGTGCTCCTCAGCTCCTGGGGTCTGACAGCACGACTGCCAAGGCCAAGGCAGAACAGCCAGAGGGGTGAGACTCAGAGGACTCTAACAGAGAAGAAAAAGCAAAGCAAGGATCTGAGGTGGCCTCTGTTTGCACAGACGAGAACTTTCCTATCCAAATGAGTATACTGCTAGTTCCCACACGTGAAAAATTACTCCTAAGATCTCCCAGGGCTTTCTCCTAAGTGTTCTCCAGCCACTCACTAACCAGCTTGTTCCAGTGTCCCTCTACTTAGCCTCCCTGTAATGCGGAATTCAATGTTTCCTTTATTCTTCAGCTACTTTATAGCTTATCCCTCCACTTAGTCTAAGAAGAGATTGGGCATTTCACTGAAGGCCTAAAGGTGCTGAGGTTGGTACTCTACTCCTGAGCAGGCCAGGAAAGTTTGTTTAAAAAAAAAAAGGGGGGTGGGTGGGTTGGTGCTATGGCATTGTGGGTAGAGCTGCTGCCTGCAGTGCTGGCATCCCAGGTGGGAGCCAGTTCAAGTCCTGGATGCTCACTTCTGATCCAGCTCTCTGCTATGGCCTGGGAAAGCAGTGGAGAATGGCCCAAGTCCTTGGGCCCCTGCACCCATGTGGGAGACCTGGAAGAAGCTCCTGGCTCCTGGCTCCTGGCTTCAGATCAGATCGGCTCAGCTCTGGTAGCTGTGGCCATCTGGGGAGTGAACCAGTGGATAGAAGACCTCTCTCTCTCTCTCTCACTGCCTCTCTGTAGCCCTGCCTTTCAAATACATAAATTAAAAAAAAAAAAAAAAAAAAGCCAAAAAATGAAGGGAGAAAAACTAACATGGGTTGAAAATCCCTCACCCAGATGCTCAGGACCAGAAGCATTGCCGATTTCAGAGCCTTCTAGATTCTGTAATACTCGCACAGACTTTACACAAAGAGGGCAAACCCTCTCGAGCAGCATCATGCTGGTGCTCAAAAAGTCTTAGACTTTGGAGCATTCTGGATTTGCGATTTCTGCACGAGGGACGGTGACCCTGCCAGACCAAGGGCGTTCCACTTTACAGGCTCATTGCCTACACTGCCTGGAAGAGAAGTCACCTGAGCTATCCCAGCTTACAGACGAAGAAACTGAAGCCCAGAGACAGAATAGCCCGTCCCACATCACACGGCTGGTAAGAAGCCCAGCGGGGCAGGAGTCCCGCACGGCTCTCGTTTCATACTGAAAAGTGACTGCACAGGAGCGAGTCTCTGCCCCCTCTTCCTCCTGACAATCACAGGCCCTCCTGCCAACGCTACCTCCTGAACCCCAGTGCAACTGGCACAAAGACGTTTGCTGCTCAAGTTCACGATCGTTTTCCATGCACATCTTCAGTCACCCCTGTTGACAGGGGAGCTGCTCACAGGCAGCGGTCACATCATTTAATTTTCTAGGACGTTTTAGTCTGAACCCTTAAATAGTGCTCTGCACACAGCTAAAGCCCGGTGGGTCAAAAGGTTCCAGTGTCTGAAAGAATGAGTGAGGAGACTGCTCTTCCTTTCTCTGGTAAGAATAAGCATTTCCTGAGTGCTCTTTCCCTCCCAGCTGAACAGGTACGGCTGACACGCTGCAGTCTCTGAAAATGTACACTGCTCCAGGTCACAGGACGACGTCCCGGGCCCGCTGCAGGCACAGCAGCACACCAGGCACGAAACAGCAGGATCCTCAGCCTTCATCGCGGCTCTGAAAACGCCTGAATACACACCCTAACTATCAAAGCCCAGGCAATGCTTCCCAGCGTGCCTGATAGTTCATCACATTTCTGAATTGTTAGTCATTGTGACTTGACTGCTTACTCTGGAGAAACGAAAACTATGCAGGCACATTCGGAAGCACCGCGGGGAAATTTACTGCAGAGCCGAACATCTGCAGAGGGAGAGATGAGCTGAATTTCGATGACGGGCTTTGAGAGCTGGCACCTCCTTAGAAAGTGAAGCTCTGTAGAAACAAAACCCAAAAACCTGAAACCTCATTCGGTGGAACACATTACACAGGACACAGAAAAGGACCAGTACGTTCGCAGACATGGGCAGGAAATGACCCTTTAGGGACTGAAGGGCAGTGACAAGGGAGTCTAAAAAAATCAAACACGCAAACCAACAGGACATTTTCAAACAGACTCAAGCCAGGCAGTCTATCTAACACTAAACATCTGTTAACAAATTCCTCCAAATTGCTGCTCAGACTAAGGGCAAAAACATTTTAATGCACCTGACACTGGAACCACACACACACCCGGCACAATGGCCATTGCCCGGAGGCAGCTTTGCTATGCTGCCCCCTCTACAAATGGCCTAAGTTCTAATCACCTGTCTCTATCTGACCATGTGAACTTCCACCTCTCTGCATCAGACCAGTCAAACCAGGTAATTTTCACCTCTGCTCATTCCCCATTTAACTGCTTCCTCTTCAGGTTTCCCTGCTGGAGAGAGACCGCCTGCACAGGTTCAGGCTCTGTGGCAATGCACACAGTCCACCGTTGTTCCATGTGGCCTCCTCGGTGACAGTCTGCTTCAGACGCCCCCAACAAGGTGAGGCTCCACACCCGACATCCCGGCAAGCGCCTGGCAGCCCCACAGGTGCCTGGCTTACGTTCGTGGTGAAGGTGCGGGACAGAAGCTCCTCTCGCTGTCTCTCCTGCTGCTCCCTCGCATAGCGGCGGTGCTGGAAGTTTCGGAGAGCGGTCTGCAGGTGCTGGACATCATACTTTAACTGTTCGACACGACTGGAATTGATGGAGAGAGAGATTAAATTCCAGGAACCCAGGGCGGCACAGCAGGTGGTGGGCAGGCTTGTATTAAGGCAGGAGGATGACTCCCTACTGCTCCCCAACCTGCCCTCCAGCAGAATGAGCTGAATCAAGGACACTGCGAGTAAAGAAGCAGTCTGTAGCTGAAGTGGGGCTGTGCCGCACAGACGCCAGCAGCTTTGCCTAAATATCTTCTGGTCCTGACTTTGGATACATGACAGGGAGCAGGTGACAGGAAGCAGGTTTCACGACCTCTTCCTGACCTTCTGTAGATTACACGCTCCCCTAAAAGAAGCCTAAGGGCAGCTCTCGGGTAAAGCACCAGCGAGGTTTCATGAAACTTCTGGGAACAGGGACTGGGGGTGGAGCTGCTGGGGCAGTTTCACGTTAGGTTTATGGTGGCGTTCCAAGCTTTGCTTCAGCACTGAGATGACTGAACCCAAGCAGCCAGCGGAACCACAGAGCACAGCCAGGCTCCCCGGCACCATCAGGCTCCACAATGTCATGGATCGGCCCAGAAAAACAGGGCTGGAGGCAAAATTTCAAAACGACACAAAGAGTTATGGGATTCTGGGCCACAAACCTCACAGGCTTTGCCTCGTAGGGGTCCGAGAGAGATCTGTGCTCTCTGGGGGTGACTTCATCTTTATATAGTCTCAGTGTTTCAACACACGCATGGATTTCCAGCACCCCCGGAGGAAGGCTGCCCTCAGGGACCCAGGGTAAGAGAGCCCTGTCAGGGCTACCACTCACAGTTTGGCATTCTGCCTTTTGTTAGGGGGCTCCTTGCTGGACAAAATCTCCAGACGTTCAAGACGGCTGAATACCTGGTCTATGCTTGCTTGGATTTCATTTTCTACTACTGCACAAAAGAGAAAAAAAGAATAATTGCTGAGAAAGAGACAGTGAACTCAAATTAGAATGATAAACATTTTTCTATATCCAATAAACTAAAAAAATTCATATTTCAAAAGAAAAATGTATATACCAATGAAAGGAAAAACATTCAAGGTATAAGTTTGTGTCAAAATATGTATGTTCACACACACACACACACACCCAGAGAGCTATTAATGCCCTAACAATGTCAATGTTTAAAAAGCCAATGTAAGTCTACAGAAATAAATTTCTTATCCTTAGAAAATATAATGAACATTTAAAGGTTGTCCAAATAAATATTTTAAGCTAAATTTTCCAATATAGGCCTCTTTTCCTTTGAGACTAGTTTCAGATATGGATTATAAAAACCTAGCAAAAAGACAGCCAGCTGAACTCCATACAATAATGAGGCTTAAAAAAAAAGTACAAAGGGAAAATTAGCATGTGAAACACTGAGTTCCATTAAGGCTTTCGGTCAGAATGGGTGGCTGAGCAATGCTGGCATCCCCAAATAAACCAGATATCTATAGGAAAAGCCCAGGAAAGAATCCACAAAGGTAAGCAGATATGATAAATACAGTCATTTTCCTTATCCCTTTGGATAAGATAGTCAAAATTATCCTTTTTCCATTTCTAGTCATGTAACAGTGAGATCCTTGAGGAGGCAAAGTCCGATGGACGGAAGCTAAACTGTGCACAAAAAGAAAGCATCCAGACTGTTCCTTGGCCCATGGAGAAGTGATAGCGAGGCCCAGAGAAGAGCCCCTTCCCACGCCTTCAAGCCCACTGCAGACAAACACCGTTTAGAACAACGTGGGGCACAGGACCCAGATGTGTTTGGAGCTATGGAACAAAACATGAGAACCGGAGAAACGGACCTGGCGAAAGCAGGCAGTGAGGTGAGAAGGCAGCTTCTGGGGTGGGGTCTGTGCATCTGATTCAGAAAAAGGTCTCCGCTTAGAATAAAAGAGCGGGGCTGGCGCTGCGGCACAGAAGGCTAAGCCTCCACCAGCAGTGCCGGCATCCCATATGGACACTGGTTTGAGTCCTGGCTGCTCCACATCAGATCCAGCTCCCTACTAATGGCCTGGGAAAGCAGTAGAAGACGGCCCAAGTACTTGGACCCCTGCACCCACGTAGGAGACCCAGAAGAAGCTCCTGGCTTCGGTCAGTCCCAGATCTGGCCATTGCAACCATTTGGGGAGTGAACCAGTGGATGGAAGATTTCTCTCTCTCTGTATTTCTGCCTTTCAAATACATAAATCTTTTTTTTTTTTTAAGAACAAAACAAAGAACTTCAAAAACAACAAGCAGCATGCTTAAGAGAAACTTCTGTGTGAGAACTAAACTAATTAATATTGCCGTTGGTTTCTGAACAATCCTCCTAAAAAGCCACAGTTCTCAGCTCTGAAGAAACGGCCAATTCCAGTTAAACATCTTTGAATTTTTATGAAGTGCATTCCTCTGAGGACGAGGTCATTCGATTAAGACAGATGAGGAACGAGCTTCCATTCCCATAGGGCCATGTCAGGTTGAGTGGAGGGCTAATGGGGGATCAGCCTAGCAGGATTCCAGAGGGCACAATCGGGGAAATCAGTGACTTTGCCAAGGGGTTTTTCTGTCCACCGAACAACAAGACTCATTCCAGGCTGAATCGCGAAGCCCCTGGGGCAGAATGCAGTCAGGAAACCCAGCCCATTAGCACCGTGTCATCAGAGAAAGGACTCTGGTCTTGTGGTTAATTACTCACAGTGCAGAGACTGCTTGTCTGCTGTCTCCAGGCGTCCCATGTGAGACTGGATCTCGTGGACCTGCCTATCAGGGAAGAGGGAGGAAATGAGTGAGACGGAGCAATCAACAGCGCTTCAGTCGGGAAAGACGGTTTTTCTGATGCCAACACGCAACTGATTTAAATTGACAGCACTGCTGAACTGTGTAATTTCTATGTGGCACTTTAGGCCACACATTTTGGCACAGTTTCTACTATCTTAACACTCATAATATTACTAGTAGGCAGCTTTTATTTAGTGTTTACCATATCTGAGACTCTGCTAAGCCAATAACCAACCCATGAGGAAAGTACTATTATCACCCTCATTTTATAAATAAATGACTGAAGTCCACAAAGTCATATAAATTGTTCAACGTCACACAGCAAGTGATAACCTCCACCTGGATCCGCCTATCCCCGCTCTGTCCTATGACCCAATGTGCTGAGTACTGGTCTGCACTAGGAAGAGTCAAAAGGCAAGGGAGATAAAACCCTCATCCTGGAGAAACACTGTAATTAGGGAAGACAGACCAGATAGACATGACAAAGTCCCAAGAAGACTTAAGAGAAAGCCAGCACACCTAAGCGTAAACAAACAGAAAGTGCAGGAGCCATGCGCAGTGGTGCGGAGCAAAGCCAAGCAAACAGAAGGGCCAGAGTTGCAAACAAGCAGGCTGGGGGAGTCTGGCGGATGGAGGGAGTGTCACCGAGCATCACTTCAAAGACAGGAGGCATGGTTTGGTGTAGGAAGACATAAAGACAAGGACATGCAAAAAGGCACATCAGGTGGACGACATGAGCTTGGTCAGTGCCAAAGAGCTGGGTCAGAGAGGAGAGAGGGGTGAGATGATTAATTAGACAAAATATTCAGAGTCAGGCCCTGAAGACAAGGAAGTCTTGTAGGTAAGCATCCTTCCCAGGCAACACAGGGGATTCTACCTCACCTGGAAACGTAACATGGTCCCAGACATCAGGCCTCAGAGCATTCTCTGCAGGCTTCTCAATGCTTGGCCAAGGTCACCCTCACCCCTCTCTCCTCTAGTGCAGTGTGTTAAGATATCACCTGCAATGCCTGGCATCCCAAATCAGAGGGACAGTTCAAGCTGTCATCCCATATGAGTGCAGGCATCCCATAAGAGTGCTGGTTTGAGTCCCTGCTAATGCACCAAGAAAGGCAGCAAATTCTCCAAGGACTTGGGCTCCTACTATCCATGTGGGAGACCTGGATGGAATTCCAGGCTCCTGGCTTTGGCCTGGCCCATGCCTGCTTGTTGTGGCCATTTGGAGAATGAACCAGAGGTAAAAGATCTCTGTCTCTTCCCTCTCTGTAACTCTGCCTATCAAATAAATAAATCTTTAAAAAGAAACAAAACCTACTAGTATCAACATAAGAGATTCTCTTTAGGACAATATTAAGTGGAAAAATAAAAACCCAACAGTACATGAATTATCTTTCTTTGGTAAATCAAAGACACACAAAACAGTAATATATATTGCTTGTGGATACAAATCTAAGAGGAGTAAAATCATGGAGAGAAGGGTGACTTCAGGGGTTGAGGGAGAATGGGTATTGCAGCTTTTAACTCAACTTATCTTTCAATCAATGATCAGAGGCATCTGTGTTAAATATGAGTCCTGACCTACAGGTTTATGTTATTCTCTACTTCTGTATATCTGAAGTCTTTCTGAAATAACCAAATGCAATAGGTATGCTTGATGTTAACACACAAGGGTTTAAGTAGGATCATCATTTATCTACTCATTCATGCACTCACACATTCCCAAGTGGCATGGATTACCAACCACCACAGTCCACGGCAAGCAGGAAATAAAACCACAGGTACTCCTACAGCAGGAAAGGCAGTCTGGCGGTGCCACAGGAAACAGATGCTGATTCCCTTGGTAGTTCCTCAGGATACACTACAGCAGATTCAGCCTGATGACACTTCAGAGGGAGAGACTCAGGGCAGACTGAGGAATGGCACCCACAAGATGCCAGGGGAAACTTCCAACATTTCTCCACAGGGCTACCTTTGAATTTATACTTTGTTCAGTATTTAAAAAAATCAATTTATGCTTACAGAATTTGCATGATTCTGTGCTATGAGTGCTTAGGATGTTGTATGATAAACCAAAGATTAACATTTTTTTTCAGGCTAAAAATGGTAAAAAGAAATTTGTTAGAGATGGAAAATATTTTGTCATTCTGGGAGCCACCTGTTAAAGGAACCCTATCACAGACAGGTTTCCCCACATGAGAGGCACAGGCTGACTGAGGTTGAACCTGCCGTGCTGCTGCTCCCTATGAGGGACTTGGAGTCAAGAGGTGCGCATTTCCACATGACGGGTTTCAGTCAACACAGAAAAAATGAGACTAGGAACCGTGTCTTCAAGAAAAGGAAAGGAAAAGATCTCCTGCACGTTTAAACTGGGATCTTATGGAAGGAGGTCCTGCCAGTCCCTTTCAATTCTTAAGTTCATGAGGACAGCAGGAGGGATGATGCTAACACTCTAAAAACATTCTTCAGCTTGCTTTGCTATTACACCACTTTCTAAGCCAAAAAGGATGACCTTTAAGAAATCACAGGAATAGGGATGTCTGATGCTGCTTGTGGGGTGGGGAGGACGGAGAGTAAAGCGCTGGCATCCCATATGGGCGCCGGTTCGAGTCCGCGCTGCTCCACTTCCGATCCAGCTCTCTGCTAAAACGCCTGGGAAAGTATAGAAGATGGCCCAAGTCCTTGAGCCCCTGCAACCGCGTGGGAGATGTGGAAGAAGCTCCTGGCTCGGGTCAGCACAGCTCTGGCCGTTGTGGCCATTTGGTGAGTGAACCAGAGAATGGAAGACCTTTCCGTTTCTGCCTCTGCCTCTCTGTAACTCGTCTTTCAGATAAATAAATACATCTAAAAAAAAAAGATGCTGCTTGGTAACACACCCCACACTCCATACTGCAGAGCCCGGGTCCAAGTCCCCACTCTGCTCTCAATCCCAGCTTCGTGCTCATGTACCCACTTGGAGGCAGCAGGTAAGGGTTCAAGTAGTCAGGTCCCTGGACTGAGTTTTGAGCTCCTGGCTTTGGCCTGGCCCAGTCTAGGCTGTTGTGGCAGCTAGGGGCTGAACCAAGGGGCAGGTGACCTCCATCTGTTTTCCAAGTGAATAAATAAATAAGAAATTGCAGGGAAACAGTACTGACTTTCCCCACCCAATTTCTCTTCATCATGAACAAACCAGAAGATACAGCCAGTAAAGTGATTCCAATTTCCAAATTCCAGGTTGAAAGGAAAGAAGTGTAAAACAACAAAGTAATATGAACAGCATGGTAGGAACTACTAATACGCCGAGTGGAAAACCTGTTTCAACCTGAACTGAGTATCAGTGGACACACCTGAAGACAGACTTGAACAGCTGATCCACATGTACAGCTGAGAAGTGTGCAGTACACAGTGGCCTCAGCCTGCCTAGCGTGGCTTCATGGTGGGCTTGGACCGCAAGGGTCACTGCTGCTGTTTTAAAAAAAGATTTACAAGAGATCTAGAATGAACTTTTACAATGGGACCATTTTTTAAAGCCCATGAAATGATCCACCCACTTCCATCTTACACACCCACTTTGCACCCATGCTGCCTCTGACCACTGTGAGCGGGAAATAGAGCTTTGGGGTTAAAAAGCCGGCCGAAGGTCTAGTTCCATCTCGTACAACCTGAAGGACACTGAGCGAGTCACTTAACTTTTGCTGTCTCCATCTCCACTGTAAAACAGATACTAATGACAAACGCAGACAATTCTACAACCACTGGGATCTCAAAGCAGAAGCCTGGCTACTGGATCTCTATAACGTCCATCTTTAGTGTGTAAGTGTAAAACGTTCATCCTGCTTTTCATCTTTCTTTTTCATTCATTCTTCAGGTAGTTCAGTTTCCAAGAGATGCAATTTTAAAATGTTGCTCTAACTGCAATGCACCTTCAGGGAGGTGGCAAGAGATAACCACATATTGGGTTCAAAGTTCCCGTAAAATTAATACGCTCAGTTGCTACTGTGTCAATTCAGCTATAATGACTTGATTTCTGCATTTGCAAAAGCTAACTTCTGGTGCTTACACGCTCCATGAGTTTTCTTTCAAGGTGCCCGATCACCAGCCCTGGGGAGTTGAGAGGAGCCTTACAGTTTCACCAGCTCCAACTGTCGTTTCACAGAAAGGAAAACAAAGCAGGAAGTCCAGAACCAGGATTCCCACTCTCGGTCCGGTACTTGAAAGCAAAGGCAGACAGAACCCTCTGCTGCATGGAAGAGGGCAAACTCCTTAAGAGCAGGGCTGTGCTGCCAGCACCTGGGATGGTACCCAACACACAGCAGGAGCTCAGTAAGTACTCACAGAACGAACGACGACATGCGGAGGCCTAACAGTGGTAAGGCCACACTGGTCTACTGTTTATTTTGATAAAATGTTATTGAGACAGAGGCACATCAATTCATCTGTATACAGTCTATGGCCGCTTTCACACTGTAACAGCAGAGCTGAGTCGTCAGCTCAGAGCCTGAATATTTACTATCTGGCCCATGATGGAAAGAGTTGGCAAACCCTGCCAAAGTTCCAGGGTGGGCTGCTGGCGACCTGCACATGCAAGTGGTTCATCTGCACTCCACAAATCTTCTTTGGACACCATTTGGTACTCTTCTTCTAAGTTCTCCGTGGTCAGCTACAGCTGCGCTGGTAACAGGTACAGCCTGAGTCGCCCTGAACAAAATTATTCCTGCAAATAAACTGGGTCACAGCCTGCTTCACAACTTCCTTTAGCCAGCCAGACGGGGCTGTACACAACAGATGAACTTCAAGGCACCACTTAACCCACTCACCCTGCTACCGTAAAAGGTCTACCCTTTCTTAGTAATGCAGGCATAATTTGGTTTCATTCCTTTTTCAAATGACTCACGGACTAGTTTTTAAGTCCTCTCCTATAATTTTTATATGGGAACAGGGCTCCTCAGTGTGTAAAAGCAAACTGTCATCACAAAGTAGACTCCGTATTTTCACCTACCCAAAGTGAACACTTCATCACCAAAAGAAAAAGGGACTCCCATAAACTTAGAAAATGAAAGAGCCAAAGCATCATCGTGCCCGTGTTCTAAACGCTCCACAGCAACTGTTTCGCTGTCAGTTTATCAGGGAGCCTGGCTGCATGTTTCACTTCATTCCCAGGCCCCGTGTTTACAACAGAACTGGAGCATCAATGTGAATGTTCTCAAAATATAAACTTCAGCAAATAAAAATCCAGGGCTAAAAGACACCTGCACTTCCATGTTCATTTCAGCATTATTCTCACTAACCCAAGTGTCCATCAGCAGAGGAATGGACGGCAACAACACGTAGTCTACACATACAATGGAACAGTGTTCAAACGCAAAAAGAAAGGAGGGGCAGCATTTGGTGCAGCTGTGAAGACCCTGCCTGGGATGCCCGCACCCAATTCCAGCTGCCCTGGGAGGCAGCAGCGGTGGCTCAAGTAGTGAGGTCCTTGCCAGGCCTGTAGAAGATGTGGACTGAGCTCCTGGCCCGTGGCTGCCGACTGGCCCAGGCCCCACTGCGCGGACACTGGGGAATGAACTAGTGAAAGGGAGCGCTCTCTCTTCACCCCCTCTTCCAAATAAGTAAAAACAAATGAAATCTTGGGGAAAAATTTAAGTGAAATTCTGATACATGCTACAAGATGGATGAATTCTGAAAACATCACGGTAGGTAGGTGAAATATGTCAGACACCAAAGGACAAACACCGTGCAATTCCTTACAGGTGAGGTGTCTGGAATAGGAAATTCATAGAAACAGAAAGCAGAACCGAATGAGGGGCTCCGGAAGAGAGGAACAGGGGGTCACTGCCTAACAGGCAGAGTTTCTGTTCAGGATCATGAAAACCTTCTAGAAATGGATAATGGTGATGTGAGTGTGAGCACACTTAACGTCACTGAAAAATGGCTAAACTGGTTAAGCTTTATGCTACATTTTAACCGCAATAAGAAATAGATCATAAGCCCTCCCCCCAAAAAAACCCAGAATAAGTATGGCCCTTATTACCAACCCCAACTACCTATCTCGGCAAGTCCCCCCAGAATGCAGAACAATGTGAATAAAGCACACCACCAACGAATTTAAGTTATGGGAAGCTAAGTCAAAATTCGATTTCCTTAAAGGTAACCCGTAACCAGAAACGACAAACAAGCAATAACAACTACTTTACAGCAATTTCTTAACTAAAAATGCGGTCTTTAGTTCAGTCACACCGGAATAAAAATGCTTTTTTTTCTATGAGCCCTGAACACAGATGACCCTAACCCAAACAGAACTCCTACGGGCAGGGGTCGTGACCCCCTCACTGTCTCCCCACGAGCGCCACGGTGGCAAGTGTTAAAACCTGCAGGTGCGACTTTCCCTTCACTCAGCCTACCCAGCAGGTAGTCAGAGCTTGCAGACCCCAGGAGCCGTCCACCCTCACGGCTCCCGGTTCCAGGAGGGACCCCGAGTTCGCGGCTGACTTGGGCATCCCGCCCGGGACTGCGCTTCCGAGTCACGCTCGGCGGACTCCATGTCCACCGCGGCGGAAGCCCAAGCCCGCAGCCTCGGGGGCTGGCCTCTCCTGGCCCCACACCCGCCCGCCCCCCGACGCGGCCCTCACTTGTGCGTTTGCTGGTATAGCGGCTCCATGTCGCCGGCCTCAGCGCTGGCTTCCTGGGAACACGTCCTCACAGCCCCCTTCCGGCTTCCGGCTTCCGGCTTCCGGCCGCAGGACCTCCCTGCACAGCCGGCCAGGGCGCCCGCGGGCACGCCTTGTTGGCGGTGGTTGCGAGATTAGAGAAGGGGAACAAGAAACGAGATCGGCAGAGTCGGGCCAAGTGTAGCGAGAGGTTCGGCCTCACGCAACGGGCGAGGACGCGTAGGCTTTTGCGGAAGGTTGGCTTCAGAATCGAGTCAGGCATTGGGAAGGACAGCCGCGGGGTACCCAGGGAGGCCCTCGGGTCCAGGTGGAAGGCGAGCCGGCGGATGCCCGTGCCTAAGGGCGGGATCCGGGGCGCGAGGGCTCCTGCTTGCCTTCGCTTTAAACCGTGTAGCTGTGGGCCCGCAGGTTTCACTCGTCACTGGCTTCCGCGGCGCAAGCTCCTCTTTCTCAAATTTGCCCTCTCCTTCGCCCTTCTCCTCCTGTCCTGTTTACGCATGCAGTAGACCCGCATTGAGTGAGTGATTATTGTGTGTCGTGTGTGATGCGGGGTGATGCCACATGGAGACTGAGGAGAAAATATGTATACAGACAAACGCCCTACAGGGGGAGAACCCCAGGGAGGACGAGCTGGGCGCGGGCCGCCTCCAGGAGATTCAGGAAAGACGGTGCCCTTGCGACTTGGGAGAATTCGGACAGACCTTGAGCGTTTCCATCCGTCCAGGCTTATCTGGAGGTCCTCCCAAGGGAGGGGACGTTCCTCTTCCTTTGACAAGTTGATGCATCTATTTTCCTGTATCCTGGATCCCACCCGGTTTTGTGTCCCAAGAGACTGCCCAGTCATGTACATTGTTCCCCTAACGTTAATTTTCCACTTACTTCAATATTTAATGAGCACATACGATGTACCATGGACAGATACTGAGGATACATAGCAAGAAGTCCCTCAAATCTCCTATATATGGGGCCGGCGTCATGACATAGCAGGTTGAGTCTCCAATGCCCAGCTGCTCCACTTCCGATCCAGCTCTCTGCTATGGCCTGGGTAAGCAGCTGAGGATGGCCCAAGTCCTTGGGTCCCTGCACCCATGTGGGAGACCTGGAAGAAGCTCTGGGCTCCTGACTCTGGCCTGGCCCAGCCCCTGCCCAGCCCTGTGGCTATTTGGGGAGTGAACCAGCAGATGGAAAATTCCGCCCCCCCCCCCCTCTCTGCTTCTTCCTTTCAAATAAAGAAAAAAAAAAAAATAAATGTTTTAAAAAAATCGGCCAGCGCCGCGGCTCAATAGGCTAATCCTCCACCTTGCGGCGCCGGCACACCGGGTTCTAGTCCCGGTCGGGGCACCGGATTCTGTCCCGGTTGCCCCTCTTCCAGGCCAGCCCTCTGCTGTGGCCCGGGAGTGCAGTGGAGGATGGCCCGGGTGCTTGGGCCCTGCACCCCATGGGAGACCAGGAAAAGCACCTGGCTCCTGGCTCCTGCCATCGGATCAGCGCGGTGCGGCGGCCATTGGAGGGTGAACCAACGGCAAAGGAAGACCTTTCTCTCTGTCTCTCTCTCTCACTGTCCACTCTGCCTGTCAAAAAAAAAAAAAAAAAAAAAAAAAAAAAAAAATCTGTCTCACAGTCTGTTGCCAGGGCTAATCATACCCTCACACTGTGTTAACAAACAAGTAGGGATGTTACAAAGCACCATTTCCCTAGGGAAGAGCAAGACAACTTCATGGACTAAATAGTATGTGAATAGGGCCCTCAAAAAAAAATACAATTTTTTTTAAAGATTTATTTATTTGAAAGAGTCAGAGAAGGAGAGGCAGAGAAAGAGAGGTCTGCCACTCCCTGGTTCACTCCCCCGGTGACCACATCAGCCAGAGCTGTGCTGATCCAAAGCCAGGAGCCAGGAGCTTCTTCCGGGTCTCCCACACAAGTGCAGGGGCCCAAGCACCTGGGCCATCTTCCACTGCTTTCCCAGGCCATAGCAGAGAAGAGAGCAGGATCAGAAGTGGAGCAACCGGGACTCGAACCGGCACCCATATGGGATGCAGGCACTGCAGGCAGCAGCTGTGCCCACTGTGCCCCGGCACCAGCCCCTAAGTCAGTTTTGGCAGTGTCTTGCATATACTAACCACTCTGTAAGCACACCCATTCCTTGTATTGGCCTGGGGGAGGGAAGGGGGAGGCGTTTGTGACTGAGGGAATAGCCGGTCTAAGCAAACAGGTGATACTAACCTGGGTCGCTGTGGGTGGGTTGAGGGAATGGGAGGGCAGTAACAGTATTGGTTGAGAAAAACGTCTGACTTAGATGTTTTTTATTCTAGAGGTAGCTAACAGTGACCAGAGGTTGGATTGATTTTTTAAATGTCTAAGCCGTGCCTTGCTTTCTGTGGGCCTCACAGTTCGTCTGTGATTGAGATCTCTGCCTGCCTCTCAGTGTCAGGGCTTCCCGTGTGCGGAGGCTGACGTCTCCTTAAGGCCTTCCTCCTCTCCATTCTCCTGGAGTCGTTTCTCGGCTCAGCAGAGGCCCCTGGCCTCGTCATCCTGCATTCCGTGAGCTCGGGCTGATTGCAGGCACAATGCAAAGGCGGGAGTACACTGAGGACGAGACACTGTCTCGCCATTGAAGTTCTTTAACGTACTGGCAGGAAGACATCCACACAGAGATACTGGGGCGGTGTTGTGGTGCAGTGGGTCAAGCCCCTGCTTGGTACCCTGGCATCCATACTGGAGTGCTGGTTTGAGTCCTGGCTGTTCTGTTCCAATCCAGTTTCCTGCTAATGTATCCTGGGAGGCAGCAACTGATGGCTCCAAGTGTTTGGTCCCCTGTGACCCACATGAGAGAGTCAGATGGAGTTCTGGACTCCTGGCTTTAGCCTGGCCCAGCCCTGGCTGTTGTGGGCATTGGGGAGTGGATGGAAGATCTCTCTCTATGTCTGTTTCTCTCTCTCTTTTCTCTCTCTCTGTCTTTGCCTTACATGTAGTTGAAAATAGCATTGAAAAAAATAATAGGGGCTGGCACTGTGACTTGGCTGGTAGAGCCACCGCCTGCAATGCCAGCATCCCATATGGGCTCCAGTTTGAGTCCCAGCTACTCCACTTCCGATCTAGCTCTCTGCTATGGCCTGGGAAAGCAATAGGAGATGGCCCAAGTCCTTAGGCCCCTGAACCCCGGGAGATCCAGAAGAAGCTCCTGTCTTTGGATCAGCCCAGCTTCAGTCATTGCGGCCATTTGGGGAGTGAACCAGTGGATGCAAGATACCCTCTTCCCTCTCCCTCTCCCTCTCCCCCTCCCTCTCCCCCTCCCTCTTCCCCTCCCCTCCCCCTTCCTCTCCCCCTCCCCTCTCCCTCCCTCTCCCATCTGTAACTCTGCCTTTCAAATAAGTAAATAATTCTTAAAAAAAATATATATATATATATTATATGCTGAATCTGGGGCAAAGGTAATTGGGATATGTGGGAAATTACCCTAATTCAGGAATTCAGGAGGAGCTGATACCTGAGCTGAGTCTTGAAAGATAAACCCAGGAAGAGGAAAACAGTGGGATGAACTCAGGAGGAGGAAGCAACTTCAGGGAAAGTAGACATGGAGTGCAGGGAAACCACAAATATCTCTATTTTAATGGAATATAACATGTTGGGGCTGATGCTGTGGTGTAGCGGGCTGTCTCCACCTGCGGCATCACATATGGGCACCAGTTCCTGTCCTCGCTGCTCCACTTCTGATTCAGCTCTCTGCCATGATCTGGGAAAGCAGTAGAAGATGGCCCAAGTGCTTGGACCCCTGCACCTGTGTGGGAGACCAGGAAGAGGCTCCTGGCTTTGGATCAGCACAGCTCTGACCATTGTGGCCATTTGAGGTGTAAACCAGTGGATGGGAGAACTTTCTCTCTCTCTCTCTCTCTCTGTAAGTCTACCTTTCAAATAAATAAATAACCTTTAAAAAATAGATTATAATGTGCAAAAAAACAAAGGGTGAGGCCTGAGAGAAGACCTTGGCCAAGTCAGTCCAAGGAGCTTGTACTTGATTTTGTAAGCGATGGGAGCCACTGAAGGACTGTAACTTTAGATGTCACATCTGTGTATTTGCATTTTACGCAGACCACTCCAGCTGCTGTCCCAGGTGGTTCAGGGGGGAGGGAGATCAGATAAAGGAGTAATTAATTAATATTTCATTGCTGAGGGACGCTCTGGAAAATGTGTGTGTGCGTGTGCGTGAGTGCATGTGTGTGTGTGTGTGTGTGGGAGTGCGTGAGTGTGAGTGTGCGTGTGTGTGACTGTGTGTGTGTGTCTGTCTGTCTTGGCAGGACTGTCTCCAAGGCTTATGGGGCCCTAAGCAAATATTTTTGTGGATCCTGTCTATGTAAGAAGTTTGGTTAAAAACTGTGTTACAAAACTCATGGACCCGCGTAAAGAATCGCGTTTTATCAGTTAAGATTTAGAATGACTGATCAAGGAGAGATACTTCCATGTCTGTCGTCCGGCTAATGCACGTGAAGATTCTTCGCAGTGCCCAGGCACTGTGGCTTCCGACCTGGGTCCAGAAACTATCACTGCATTTTTTATTGTCAAATGTGATATTTTTGGCTAGTTTCTGGCTACTATGAAACAAAGGGAACAATGTTGCTATTATTCACTGTGCCGAGCGAGCCTCTCAGAACCTGTTTGTATCGATCTCTGTAGCTTCTCTTGCGGGTCTGGTTCCCAATGCCATTTGTTTAGTGCTGGTTACATCAATGGTGTCCTTCTCTTCCTGCTGACCACATCGATCAAGCCATTCATTCACTGCTGGTTGCATCGTTAGTCATGCTGCTTCCGCATCCTTCTCTCTGCCCGTGCATACTGGCTGCCCGGGGCCCAGGGTTTGCTACTGTGCTTGGTGGATGACAGTCGCTGCAGGTTTCGCCTGCAGTATGCAGGAAAACATGAATAATAAGTCGTCGTTCAGAATTTCATGGTGTAAATATACAATAATACATCAGCCAACCGTGTCTTCTCTTGAATTCTTTGGGCCTTATCACTGCATTCCTAGAATGTGATCTCTTTCGTTGTTGACTGGCCCCCTGCGGTTCCATACACTGAGACCGGTTGGCAGA